GTTTTGAAATAAAATAAGTCAGGTTCGTTTGGACCTTGGCTTTTTTACCAACTTATGCAACAGTTTTTTGGACCTAAAACGATTTATTTAAGTTGATTTAAGAAGTTAATTTTATGAGTTTTTCTTCCAATGTTTTAGAGTTTTGTCGCGAATTTCACTCAATTTATTAGTTTGTTATATTCATAAAATATTATTAGTGACATAAAAAAATTTTAAAATTCATATTTTGAGAACTATTATACAAAATCTATATATACATAGGATTATTTTTTTATTTTGATACAAAAAACCAAAAAAACTAGAAAGTCGCTCCAAATTAACTTTTTTAGTTTTTTAAAGAATACTCCTAAACGGTTTTGAGAGACTTTTTTGGAAAAATTTTCAAACCTTAATTTTTTACTTAAAAAAATCGACTCCAAATAGACTTGTCGTTAAAAATAATTAGTTTATACAAGTATGCCTCTTCCAACCAAATATAAGTTTCGACATTAAGGATTTAGCAAAAGCAACGAGTGCATGTGGCATTTGTATGGCCATAATTTCTAAATCTCGTGAAGGTTGTTTTTTTTTTCAACGAAGAATTACTTATCTTAAAAGATTTAAAGATTTTCATTATACATACTATACAAATACATATATGTTGCCAAAATTGTTGAATCTTGTCAAGTCTTTTCCATAATAAGAAACACTTGTCCCAAAACATCTCAAAATTTTCATTCTGCATAAATACACGCATATAATGTTTTCTTCAATTTTTTAGATTATTCACTATGATTTTAAGTGAATTATACTTATATTTAATAAAGATTGGTTTAAATTTGAACTTCTTTTTTGAGTTTATAGAAAGCGGCCCTAGCAACTCATTCAGATAATATTTCATGGGCTCGAGCTGGGCAACAACCCAATTCCAAGAAAGCTCGATATTAACGAGCTTGGTACAATTATCAGCTCGAGAGACGGGACCACGGCACAGGGCCAGTTTACAAAAGTTGCAACATAACACATGGACAGGGGACAAAGATACATTACTTGACGACTCTGAAGAACAAAAACCCACAGGTAGTGGAGAAGGATCAAGTACTACAGTCAGCAAGTAGTGAGCGCAAAAAGCCTTTGGAGACAACAGCTCCATGACAGAGACAAACGTAGAAGGAACCAGAATCAACCAAAAATACGAAACACTTACTAACAATTGTATAAATAGCTAACAGGACTACAGTGCATGAGAGAGCCTTTCAGAAAACCATCGAGAAAAACCTAGGCATCATATTGTAAAGGCTTCAAGGCAAATAACCTATAATAGTAATTTTTTTCCCCAAACAATACAACCCTCAAAGGAACAAGAGTTTCTCTTCAGTTAAGTTGAATCATTTATATTGTTGTCTTCTTCTTACCTCATACACACAGTACACACAATCGCATTCTCTCATACACATACACACGTTGGACTTCACCCAAGTCTATTCTACAGTTCAGTTCAGTGGATTGCGAGCACCATCAAGATTCAAGTGTTTTTTTTGTCATAATGTGTTGAGTGATTCATAAATAAATAAGATTTTAAAAAAACCTAGCATTAGAAAAAAAAACTATATATTATGATAACAGCTCAAAACTGTGTGCCAGTTAGATGGAAATATAAAGAGAAATTATCAAAAAGAATTAAAATATACAATTGCAAGTCAACCAAGATTATGGTTAAATTCAGTTTTCTTGGGCAGTTCACGAGCCAATGCATCGCACCGCCCCCTAGGAAGATAATCTAACAAATTGAGTGACTACATTCTTTATTGGAAAATGTAAAATAGGCAAATAATTTACTAGTTAATCATAAAAATCTAATTTCTTCTTTTTTTCAAAAAAACTTTTACATTGGCCCTATGTTCTTTGGTAGTTACCAATGCATAAACGATTCTTTCAAAAATCACCTTTTTACTTATAAAGTACCTTCTGAAAAACTTTTACGTATAAAATTTTTAAATCGAAGTTAATCTCAACATCTTCACTCAAATGGGATCTAGATCCCTTCAAATATATTTTTTCATATTTTTTTTAATGACAGATCACCCATCGTAAATAGATGGGAAGTGTGTATTCTACTAGTGACAAGTACATTAAATTATGACCCAATTATCAATATTGAGTGCCACTCGAGCAAGTTGAATGTGTTGAGAGATCAACTCAAATTTTAAAATCTTTAACCAAATTAAATCCGAACTTCTTCCCTCAAACATGAGCAATACTATACGTATAAAAAATGTGCACTAAAACTTGTATTAAATCACTTGCAACCGTTGGATCAGTGAGTCTCATCACTAATCTAACAGTTACTATTGTTTGGTGCACATATTTGGTGTATAAAGAACTACCCCTCAAAAATTGCCCATCTTTAAACTTGTTAACTCAAGCTATATAGCTCGAGTTCAACTCAAGTATAATTTCTCCAGTTCCATTTTCAGGAAAATTTTGAGTTAAAAATCAACTTGAATTTGAGTTTGATTCCCAAGTTATGCAATCCAATCAAAAAATTTTCGAATTTTTATATTCTTTGAACTATTCATTAATCCAGATAGAGTTCATTTGGGTCCAAAACCCGAGATCCCAATACAAATACTAACCAATTTATTAAATCGGGTTATGATTTTTTAAATTTTTGACCCAAATTCATTCAAAAATATTTAGAAACTTTTGTCAACGTACTGAATATTTCGCTTTTTTGGTTTAACAATCCCCTCCTCATTATTGAATATAGCGTTTGAATCAGTTTACGCCCACCTTAATTAATCTCATCTTTGATTTGATTAAAAACAGGTTATCCACAAACATACTAAATTTTTGGATTGGATTTGAGTTCACCCTTATGTTGAACCCCATATATAGATAATAATGTCCATTTACTGTTTCCATCAAACTTTAAGTAAATTTTAGGAAGTAGCTAAATTAATGCCCAGAAAGTAGTAAATACAGTTGAGGTAATTAACATAAAAAAATATTAATTTTTTTTTTACTTTTATTCAAAACAAGAATGCCAAATAAGGTAACTTTCCGTACTGAAAACAACTCAGAGAAAGTTTCATTTATTATCCATTTTTCAAAGAGAAATTTATTTACCATTTCCAAAGTAGTTGACTCTTACAAGAGGTTTTTTAACCTCATTTAGTGCAATAACATTAACACACTGACAAAATTAAATCAATAATAATGCAATACTGATTAAAATTTCTTGAATAATGCTACACTGACAAAATTTGAGACTAAATTTGGAGCTCAAATGACATAACTGTTGATTATTTGAAATTTTTATTGGGGCTCAAATAACATCACACCAATCAAAGAAGCCTAAATCAACTACCATATCATTTGGACTCTAAATTTGGTCCCAAAATTTAGTTAGTCTAGCATTACTGAAATTTCTTATCAAAATTTTCATCCCAAATGATGTGGCACAGTTTTCACCATTAAATAAATGAGTGCTATTAATATTTGATGACGAAGATTGCACCACAATCACTAAGAATACAAAACAAACTTGGTAAATATAACATTATTGTTCAATTTATCAAAAGTAGTTTAGATCCCTCAAGTAAACTTTCGCTCAATTTCCCTCGATTACAAATCATCAATTGTATATTAATAGAAACCTACTTATACATCAAGGGTTTCTCTTTAATTCATGACAAGTAATCTATTTTTGACTGATATCAATGGAAAAGTGCAATAGAATAAAGTCGAAGTCTATTAAAACTGCTAATATTCTTTAAGATTCAAGTTAATTGAGGAATTGTATATCATAGGAGACACTAAAATCATAGAAGTAATTTTTGCCAAGATTATAATGTAATAACTTTACTATATGATTTTTTGACATGCTATTATAGATAATACTTAAAAAACACTCATGTGTCTTTGAAGTAATAAGAAATTTTTGTTAATGTATTGTATGGTATGTGAATTCGAAAAGAAATGTTAAAAGTTCAACTAAAAAATTATATATGTTGCTCTACTACAAAAATATCCGTGAAGTATCTTAATATTTAATTATTATCGGATACGTAGAAGATGTATATAATACGTATCTTCGAATATCCGACAAGTATCATATCCGATACGGGTACGTCAACCTCAACAAAGTACCCGTGCTTCATATCTCTTCAGAGTCACAAAAAAAACACCAAAAGGAAAATTTTAATTCCAATCAAAAAGTTTTTCAAAAAGAATTTAAAAGAAATGGAAAGAGAAAAAGAAAGAAAAAGGAAAGAAATGCAAATTAAAAGATCAAAAGGGTAGTTTGGGGAACTTATATTTCTTTACAAATAAAACCGCGTAAACTACAGCTTGCTTCTATCATAGAGAGTAAAACAACGGTTTCTCTCTCTTCCAAGAGTAAATATTGCAAGTAACGATGACGCTATATCATCATTAACACGTGTTATCACAATTTAATAATAAATTTACACATAAGTGATATGAACTTCATTTAAATTATTATTAAATATCATGATACAATGATTACCATAATATGTGATATTCACCTGTATATTTGTTATATTTTTATTAGATAATAATATTACATAGTAATGATTTCGTTGTATCACCCTTATATTTTTTTCTCTTCCACGAAGGTATAGTTAAGGAAAATCCAACATGATTTTAGTCCTTGATCTTATGACGGAGAGAGAGAGAGAGAGTTTTATGGTAAGAGACAAGGGCTCCGAAAGAGTGGAAGGCAATTCCAATAGATTTTTAAATTTCTCAACAGAGGGAGAGAGAAATGGACTTGCAAGTTTTTTTTTTCTAATTGTAAGGTTTTGTGGATTCCATATATCTTAAGTTTTTCTATGATGGGATTGGTTATTCTGGAAGTTTGTGAAAAAGCCACCACACTCTCTCTTGTCTTATATTGACATCTTTGTTCTATAAAAGACTCACTACCCACCTCTCCAAACCTCCCCCCACATTTGCTCTTTTTCTCACAAGAACTTGAGAGAGAGGGAGAGAAAGATATGGAGGAAATGGCTTCCCTATGGAGCTATCAAGAGGTGGGTCACCAGTCATTTCTGGTTTTCTCAGTCTTTTCGGTTCATTTCTTCTTGGTACTGTTCATTTATTTGGTTTTGGCATTAATTGAAGCCTTTTCATTGTAGATTTTTTCTCTACATTGTAACTGAATTCAATTCCAGACGCTTGTTGGATTTTCCCTTCTCTTTTATTTCGTTTAATTCTTCTTCTAGTTGGAGTTTTCAGTTTCGTTTAATTTTCGAAGTGTTTCTGCAAAAAGAAACTCTAATTTAACTGTTTATTCTTCATTTTCTTGACATAGATGCATTTCTCTCTCCTGCAATCTCATTAAACTTTGTGATTTTTAATTTTCTTTTCCTTTCTCTCTCCTTTTTCTACTGAGAACACAGGAGGAAATCTTTGAATGTCTCTCTCTCTCTCTCTCTCTCTCTCTGTGTTTGTGTGTGTGTGTATGTCCATTGGTATAATTACAATTTCAAAAGCTTGTCTGAAAAGGGCATTCAAAGCTTCAATATATTCGAAAAATTGATGAAATTCCATTTATTCCTCAGTAGCTACAACCTAAATTCTCATGTTAACTTAATACAGTACAATTTAAGTACATTAGTTTTTGTTTGGTAAAGTGGTGAACTTCTTGTTCCTTCTTTTCTATCAAGAATTGTCTCAGTTGAGACTTTTTGAGAAGAATTTCTTGGTAATGATGGAACTTGTAATAATGTTTCATTAAAAATTGTATTTGAAGTGCAATAATTCCATTTTAACTTTTAAGATAGGATCCAATGGTAAACTCTCATTTCTTTTTTTATTTTTTTTATTTATTATTTGCTATGTTTGACTAAAATTTCTTATGATCTGCATGGGGGCCATGTTGGGATTTTTCTGTTCGTCCTAACTTTGAAATAGTTGTACATGGAATGATTAAGGGCCAGTTTATTCTATTGCAAAATATGTAATACTTCAAATTAGCTATTGGGTTCATTATGGTACTGATAAATTTGACAACTTTTGTATGTTTATGTTCATGAATTTATGTTTACACAAGTTTTTGTTCAAAAGTGTGTTGTGTGTCTGCTGGTGTTTTTCTTGATTCAATTCTCAATTTCTGAAGAATTTTGGTGGTGTTGTTGTTGTAGTTCTTCTTCTTCTTCTTCTCTCTCTCTGTCTCTCTGTGTTGTGTGTGTGTGTTCCTCTTACTGATCATTGACTTTTTTTGGAATGGCAGAGCATTGATGAATTGAAACAGAAGCTTTTGTACACTATTGTTGAGCTTGAGTCAGTAAGAGTGGAAGCAAATGAGGAACTGAGAAAGAACAAAGAATATGTGAAGCAATTACTCCAACTCCTGAAGATTGCTTACCAGGAAAGAGATGAAGCAAGAGATCAGCTTCAAAAACTGCTCAACAAGCTCATTCCACCAACTACTCCAACTGAATTCTTTACAACTGTTCCTCAACTCCAGCCCGAGAGACCCCTCGTAAAACCCACAAAAGCAAACTCAAGCATAACTGAATCTAACAGTCTCTCCGACACATACAATTACCAGTCACATGGTTCATCCCCGGTTAACTCCCTTTTTGATGCTGTTTCATCCCCTGAACTCTCAAACATCAACATGGGTGATTCAAGTAACGTTGCATTTGTGAACCAGCCCTTGGTTCAGGACTACAATGGCAACTTATCAACCGGTCTGGTCTCATTAGGAACACCAAAAATTGATCAAGCTTCTATAGTAATCGAAAATCTTGCTGAGGGAAAAAATCTACCTCAGAAAGGAAAGCTCTTGCAGGCTGTGCTTGAAGCAGGGCCACTTCTTCAGACACTTCTTGTTGCCGGGCCACTTCCCAGGTGGCGTAACCCACCCCCTCTTCAACCCTTCCATATTCCACCTGTTACAATCAAAGGCTGTGATGCTGAAATTGTCACTCAGAAACCAGTTGCAGACTCAAACCATGTTGTCTCAAGACCATTGAATTCACAATCTTATGTTGAGATGTCTTGTGGTTCTTCCCAAATGCTGTCGACACCCATGTTGAATTTTTCTAATGGATCTTCTGGATTGCACCTGGGCAGTGGGAGATTGATACCTGCAGGAGCTAATATTCACAGTTATATCCCAACCGGCAAACGACAGAGATTCCAATGAGATCATGAAGTCTATCCTCCTTCATTTTTGTATAAAACAGATTTTGGGTGGTGGTTGGTGTAAATGGGATATTCTGTTTTGAGTTTGAATTCCATAGCTACTTAACTTTATTACAATTTCAAGTCTTTTTGCAATTGTTATGGTATGGGTCTCCAATTTTATGTTTTGGTCATGATTAGCAAAGATAACATTAGGTTTCATAGATCTTGTTTTTCTCCCCAGTAAACACTAATGTTGCTAGAAAGAAAGAAAAAGAAAAAAAGTGGCAACAGGTCTTAATCTTTGAACAAAACAGAGATTGAGGCTTAAACCTAAAAAATGCTTTTGCTTTTTGACTCATGACATTTTAGGCTTGTAAGTGCATCACAACCATGGTGATGCTTGAGAGTAACTTTCGGAAAATTGTGGTTCGTGTGTAAAAGCTCTTTCTGTCATGATCAACACGAAAGACAAGCATTCTTGAGTTGAAATGCACTTGGTTTTGAAAATTAATTTCCTGGTTCAGATTCTCCAAAGCTGAACATTTCATCCTCCCGATGATGGATGATTAAAAGCACGCTACGATTTTAACTTCTGCTCTATTTCTACTGTGACACCATATATGCAAAGCACTCTCTTCTTGCAGAAAGAAAAATAGATAGATGCAGGTTAGGGATATACAGACTCGTCCATTGTGCAGTTACTAGGTGACGCAGCATCTTGATGATCAGACAGTAGATGACAAAGAAAAGGATCAGGAAAAGTTAACAGCTTGATTTGTGGGGATGTCAAAGGAAGAGTTTTATGGACATCAAATGTTAACTAATAAAAAACCAGAAGTTGCATACGAAATCAATCTTTGTCATCCAAAATTATTAAAGAACAGATCAGAAGATTTAGATTGAATATCAGCAACATATTTGGCAGATTCATGAAAAAGGCCATCATTAATTTTATCACCAATCCTTAATGACCATACTTGTTCCTGTTAATTGGATTTGATCGTCACCATCAACTTCAGAGTCTGGACAAAAATTAGGGGCTCTAGTATAACAGTGTTCAAGAAATACCTGTCTTCAACATATCCATGAAGCAGATTTGTTCAAAGCATTCTGAACCTATAAGTTGGCATTTTATCCTATCAACAACTTCAACACATCATGCCTCCAAGTCCAGCCACATCCCCAGAGTTCCAGCCTTCACATTGGGCTCCATTGGTGATTACGTTGGTGGGTGTTGTTTGTACCATCTTTTTGCTGTTCTGTTACTATAGGATGCTAAAAGGCCAGTGTTGTGTTTCTCGTGTGATGATTTCCAGGAGTGGAGATCAAAGGCGCCATCTAAATGGAGACAACACTGATGATCCTTCTCTACAATTCCAAAGCCACGGGCTGGACTCCTATATTATGCACTCGCTTCCCATCACCCAATTCAAGAAGAAGAATGCAGAAGAGTTGTGTCAAAGCAATACAGATTGTGCCATTTGTTTGGGTGAATTTGATGAAAGTGAATGGATAAAACATTTACCAAATTGTTCTCACGTCTTCCATGTTTCCTGCATCGACACTTGGTTTCAGACTCATTCAAGTTGCCCACTCTGCAGATCACACATTTATGATCTTAAAATACACCATGAGTGCTCCATTTCTATGTACACTTTGCTAGAAACTCTTGAGGAAAGATTTCTATCAAGAAATATCAGCACATTACCAAGTTCTCAGCTACCATCTCCTATAGAATTCTCCACCTGGACCAGACCAGAAAATGCCAATTGATTTGCTTCATCCAATGCAATAACAATCAACCATCATATTACCAGTGATCCAGAGAAAACAGTGTTCTGCAGCAGGAATTCAGGAAACCAGCATTAAATCAGTAAAGTTGATCACATTCCTTTGGAAGCAATGCAGGAACGACATAATATTCCAAATGGAAGGTTGATTTCTCAGACCAAAGTAGAATTTAAATCATTTCTTAGAAAAGCTCACCGTTAAGGGAAAACTGTTGGGGAAGTCCTGGAGCCTAGCAGGTCCAGTGGTAGAAAAAAATTTGCTGATTTGCTGTTACTATAAAAGCTCTTAATTTCTCCCAAAACTTCAATAATAAGAAAAAATTTAGCAGAATTATAAGTTGTTCTCCTCGTGACTATGTGAGTAGATTTGATTTATAAGGCCGGTATGCCATTGGGACATGAAATGTTTTCTTTGGGGAAGTAAGAAATAGGAATGTATACACTCCAATTTCCATATAGTTCCAGACACAAGGCAGTCATTGCATAAAGCACATTTACGCACAATCACAAGGATTTTGAAGCTAATGTCATAGTAAATTATATGCCATTGTTGTTAGTCACCTAGGAAATGAGAAAAAGAAATTGCATTATTCTTGAAGTTGTGTAAAACTTTGAACATACAATGAACTTGTTCCTAGAGATAAAAACTTGTCCCCCAGTTTTCTCACCCACACAATATGTTGCAAATCCCTATAGTCAATCGGAGTTTTAGATCGCCATTCAAAGCTAGGGAATCAGGATGCCAAAGCCAAAGTCTACGAGAAATGAGAGGGGTGGTAAGCTAAAAAAGGTGTTCAGACTCTATGTTCTCAACAGTTTCCCATTCAATTTTTATTGTTCTGATATATTCAGGATGGTGAAATGACGCATTTTCCATTTGTTCCCATGAAAAACAAAATACGAATAGGTAAATTGTAGATGAAAGACAAAGTTGCTCATCGACTGTAAGGTCAACCAGATATGATGTTAAATAGTGGATACAGAACATGAGCTGAATGTAGCTGGTGAATCTTCCATCATTCTTTTTTAGGTGGGTGGGAATCTTCCATCATTTAAGTACCCAGGAAATGATAAACTTTCCCAAGCACCAAACAGAACCAGAACTAGAGACTGGAATGATATCTAGCCAAATTATACGCAACTAATATTGCTGCTGGCTCTACATGTAGCTATACAAAATTGAAAAATTAAAATACTGTTAAATTAGAATGTTGCACAAAACAAGTGATGTTTATGGGAACTGTTAAAGTAGAATGTTGGGTCATGATGCTATATATCTAAACATCTAAATGATAGCTTCGAAGAAATGCTCGCCAAGCTGTTCATTTTAATGCTTGATAACTCGGTTCAGTACGTCTAGTTTGGCACCATGAATCTTTTTTGTTCATGACACCAATGAGGACCCAATGTCTTGCCATCAATCTCCCTGGCGACCGTGGCCGCCCATGTTGGAAGGGATGTTGCATAATGCATCCTTGAGATTGCAGCCTCATGAGACAATTTAGATGGACGATATGGATTTTTTCGAGATGGTTAACCACTTTTTTAACCGAGAGAGGGAGGTCATTCAGAACCAACTGGCTCCAGAAAGGGGGCTGCCTCCAGAGGCGCTGCCTGAATTAGTAGGTGTTCCTAACAAGCAGGATTCTAGTGACTATATGAGCTGATTTTTGGCACAGCAGCTATGTTTGAGCCTATCAGAAGCAGCTGCTCATCAGCATTGTTGATGGTGGCCTATCATTTCAGTTCAACTATGCGTGAGGAGAGATCTTTGCTATCTTAGTCACAACAACAACCCGATATGCACTTCAGGCCAGAAGACCATTGCAAGTCCGAGCCTACAGGCCGATACTTGACAAGCCTCCTTATTATTCCATAATGCCAACACCAATATAGCCATCACCCCTTTCATGACTGATACCTTCAAATCTTAGGAGAACAACCTTCCACTAGTCTTCTCATTTCCGTCCAGAGTTTAATACTCTATCTGCTGAAGAATGTTTCTCTATCATCCCACTCAGTCTAAACATGTTCTCCAGGTTAGATCCTCACTTTTTATCTATACGAGAATCCTTCTTTGGGGAAAATGTAATCCAAAGGGAAAAGAACAGCCAATCCACTTAGAGAATTCTCTCAAATCAAGTAGGAAGCCATATAAAGCAAAGATTGACGGCAGAAACTGTTATTTGGTGCGATCTTTATGATGGTGAACAAGATCTCTCTTGGCCATTTGACAAACCTGTAGTGTTATTATGAAACACCTGAGATATATATTCTCATGAACTGTCATTGTAGATTCCTCTTCGTAAGAAAAAACATCAATCAAATACATGAAATGCTCCACCCTAAATAAATTTAGTTATGGAAAAAATGTTACCTAAATTTCAAAATAAGAGCATTATGTGCGCACCTTTAGACATTACAGCCATGATTCATCGTTGGCATTATCCCCAGTTTTCTTGAATGCCAGCATGAGTCCTGCACTCCGCCGGTTGGCTAGTACTGCAGGCACTGAAAGCATGGAAGATGTTAAAGCCACTTAATCGATTTCATAATTGTTTTGATGTTTGTTATGGTTTTTGCTAGGCTGATATTGAAAATGTTTTTCTTTTTTTTCGTTGAAAGACAAATACAGGCCAGCTTCGTGCACTTAGACTTTTACAATGCAATGTATCTATCAATTCATGCAAATTGTCACATGAGACAGCCATCTCATTTCAGTATTGGTTGGCGAAAAAACAACCTTACAGTGCAAATGGGACACATATCATTGATATGTTGACAATAGGAGAAAAACCAACTCATGAGCATAGTAAGATACAGGTCATATTACTCTCGGCAAAACCAGCAGAAGCTGTAACAGTACTTCCATTTATCATTTTCTGAGCCTTTACAATTTTTATCTAACAACTTGAAGAATATACAGCAAGATGTATACACTAATGTAACAAAGGAAACCTATAACACCAGAGACAAAAGAAATATCTCTAAAACAACAAAATAACAAGAGAAATAAACAGTCAAACTCCGAAAGTATGCCCGAACCACAAAGAATGCCTGCTTCTGAAATAAATTTCAGGTCTCAATTGCTCCAATGACCCCCATGATATCCTTATATACACAACCTGACCTGCCAAACCTCAATTTCAATGTTGCCTACCTCCAGCATGAAGCTCAAAAACTGGTACCTTCTTGAATCCTCCCACTCTTAAACTCTCTCAAAAGGGTAGCGATATCCAACTCCAATAAGGTTTTATGTTCCAGCAGTCAGAAATGTCAACTGTCAAACCAACCCCAATTTATATCAACCAAGCCACTGCTGGCTCAAACCTTTTGCAAAGTGAGGTCGCATTAACTTGACATACAAACCATTCATTGCTACAAGAGAATCATGAGTACCGTCCTCCACAATTTGGCCACCATTAATGACCACAATTTTGTCAACATGCCTCATCATTGACACTCGATGTGCAATGAGAATAGTGGTTTTGTTTCCCATAATCAGCGTGTCAAGAGCCTCTTGTACCACCCGGCTTGACTCAGACTCAAGTGCAGAGCTGGCCTCATCTAATAATAAAATGGGTGCATTCTTCAGCACCACCCGAGCAATCGCAATTCTTTGTTTCTGCCCTGGTGTTAAACACATTCCCCTTATGCCCACATGAGTGTCATAACCATGAGGCAAGCTGCTAATGAAATGGTGAGCATTTGCTATTCTTGCTGCCTCTTTCATCTCAGCTTCAGTTGCGTTATGTCTTGCATATAGGATGTTCTCTCTTACAGTTGTTGAGAAGATTATGGGATCCTGCTGGACAAGACCAAGGTGATTCCTCAACCACCTCAAATTGAACAGCTGAAGATCCCTTCCATCCAGTAAAATTTGACCAGCAACTGGATCATAAAATCTCTCTAGCAAAGAAATTATGGTACTCTTTCCAGAACCTGAAACTCCCACAATGGCAACGGTTTGTCCTCCATTGACTTTAAGACTGAAATTGCTCAACACCAGCACCGATGGATTGGTTGGATAACAAAAATCAACATTTCTGAACTCAATACTTCCATAGACATTAGGGGGTTTTAGTGCAGAGCTATCATCTGGATCAATCTTTGGTACACGATCAATTATTTCAAAAACAGAAATGAGAGACTCCCGCCGTTTGAGAATGTAAGGGGCAAGGCCAAATGGTTCTACCAGAGCAAAGGTTGCAAAAGAGAAGACCATGTATTCCTTGAGAGCATTGGGTAGATCAATATCTCCATTTTTAACAGAAATAGCAGTATACCAAAGTAATAGAGCATTACAGGCGAAGAGAAGGAACTGCGAAAAGCCAAATGCAAAACCAATGGCCATTCCATGGAAGAAGCTTTGCTTATATATTTCTCTGAGCTGCAATTCATAAAGTGCCATTACCTTGTTTCCGGCACAGAATGCCACCACAGTGTAAATGCTCTTTACTGCATCCTCAAGGACCAAAGATGCCTTCCTGTGCCGCTCTTGTATGCCCCTTGAAAACCCAGAAAGCCACATTTTCTGCAATTAAAAGATTAAATTTGTTTTGGAATTGAATTGATTGGGGGCAACTCAAAGGCATGTAACGATAGTATCAACAACTGACTGATGTAAAAGCTTTAGCAATTAAATAAGGACATAAAATAAATTTCAACAACCCCTGGCCTCCCTCTAGCTGGCCTCCCACATGACCACTTTCCCCTCAGCTTCTTGTGGTCATAGATGGGCCAACCACGTGAAAACATTACACATCAGCAAAAATCAAAAAGTGGAGATACTAAGATGATTAAAGATATATCACTTTCCGAAAGAAAAACATTAAGAGATATCAAAGAATTATCAGTTTGGATATTTAAAAGTGAATACTAAAGATAATGTTAATAACAGAACTAAAGCAATATGGATTGAGTTGGATTATGTGATCGATATTTGAGAGGAAAGTTTTACAAAACACACCCTCTTAAGCTATGATATTTCACTCTATTGGAACATGGATAGACAGAAACAATCATATAGAGAGACTGGTGCTTGGCGTTTCTCAAGGCAAGAACTATTATAAGGAGGATTCGTTTTTCCAAATTCGAGGTAACTCCAATCCTTAATCAGGGTATTCATTATGATTTATGGTTTAAAGTATGGACCAATACCAACTCGATACCTTTCCTTTCAAGAATGGCATAAAATCATAAGATCTTGAGTTTCATTCCCATCATCTTCGTTTGGTCTTTCGTTTGAACGGTGTACTCTTTGTCAAAGGGCTGATTCTTTATAACCCGTTTTGCTCATAAGTAAGTGTGAACAAGTACGCGTGAACAGCATTTTTGGAACATTATTTAAGTCAAAATTGAGGTTTGTGGCCTTTCTACTTCCATATCTTCAACTTCCCTCTAGGTCTGGAGTCCACATTTTCTAAATTTGAATGATGACAACTCCTAATATAAACCAGAAGTCTCACTCAATTCATAATTAACAACTCAGTCAAGTCGTTCGAGACCGCGAACTATCTTGCAATGCCGTGATATGGTCTTACTCTTCACCATGTTTGACTTCTTCTATCTATTATTATGTGTGTATAGTGACACCATTTCACAACACCACAACCAATGAATCTCAACACACTCTCAATCGATGGCTGATACTACAACTGTGAACCATATTATGATTTGTGTTAAAGTTATGGTTATTATACAAATTGAGCACAAAACAGATGCCGAGGGCTAGAGTTGTCATCGTCAGTACTGTCCGACAAGTCTTTGATGATAAATGTCATACCTATAAAGTACTTCAATTATAAAGATACTAACGAGGTTAGTAGGTTGGGTACGTTGAAGGATAGAGTTGGTTGAAGGTGTTAGGTGAGCTAGGGTAGCAGCTAACTTTGGCCACTGACACAGTCCATATTTGGCAAAAAAGGTCTAAAATGTAGTTTGTCCAAAGTTCAGTGGACATCCAGCCTATCAAGTCAATGTCCAACTGGACACTCCATCTACAAGGTGGCCATCCAACGGTATGCCAAATATATGCAATGGAATGCATGTGGATGTCCAGTTGTCTTGGGTGAATGCCCAGTTCTCCAGGGTGGATGTCTGGTCGACTGTGGTGGACAAATAAAGATGTATTAGCTCCCAGTATCCACAACTGATCTATAGGTGGACGTCTAGTTGCCTAAAGAGGAATGTTCGGATTGGATTGTATGACTTTTATTCGAAGAAATTAACTTAAGAGGATTAAATTCTACTAATTGGATTGACTTAAAGATAGTCATATCTTGTCTTCTAGGATTGATTGAATTTGAGGAAGACACAATAGTTTTGTTTCATTTGAGATTACTGTCAGAATTGTAGGTGCAGCCAGACTATTAATTTAATCACTATTTTGGTCACTTGGCGTCAGATACGAGCTCACCCATTTAAATTACCTCACACATTAATGGAAGGGACTAGGCTTAGGATCGAGAGGTAGTCTTACGTAGTCCTGGTCCATGGAGATGGAGACACATGATTTTGGACTTCATTGGATTTACAAAGTGCCAAGAATTGTGATATTTAATGATTAATCAGATTTGAGATTGCAATATAATCACCAATATTTGGAGTTCCATGAATTTACAAATTGCTGAAAATTTGGGGCTCTGTTTCCCAAGTCCTGATTGATTCCGTGCAAAGGGTGGATTTGTAGTAATGTGAGTAATGTTAACGTCATGCTCTGGATTTGGGCCATGACACTTGAGCAGTTTCTAAAGCTAATGCCAACACCAGGAATGGTGTCTGGTTGATGAGAGGACTAAACATTGAAATGCATGACTGTAAACTACCAAGAAAATCATGATGAACATAAAATGCTTTCCATCTTATAGCATAAAGAAATGAATGCAAACCTGTGCAATTGCAGAAACAACAAGAAATGGCAGAGTTGCCGAAGCCACAAATGCCAATCTCCACTCCAGTAACATCCCAATAAAAACAGCAACAATAACAGCTGCACTGTCTTGAATGAAAATGGAAAGTCGGTTGCTAAAAGCAGCACGCACAAATGTAGCATCATTTGCTAAGCGCATGGAAAAGGTGTCAGATGTGTTCTCCTCTTCATCAAACCATCCAACTTCATTGCGCAGCATTGCTGTAGATGGTTGAAAATATGCTCACAATATTTATGCCCCCACATTTAGGACAATAAAAAGGCAAATAAAAGTTAAGAATTCATTACTCAGAGAAGATGCATGTGCTAAGAACAAAATGACTCACCTGAAAACATCAGTCTCCTAACTCGCTCAGTCATTTTCTCCCCCATTATGCCGAAGTAGAAGTGCTGCAAAAAATTGGCAACAACTGTTACCACACCCATGCATGTGATGATTGTGCACCATTTGTTCACTTCATAATGTAGGTGATGCCCTTCACCATCCCTGTAATATGTTGTTACTATAAGTGCAAGAACATAAGCAAGAAGAGGATTGAAAGATCCAAATATAGCAGCACCAAAGCTTCCTAGAACTGCATAAAGCCATTCTGCAAAACTGAGCCTCACAAGCCTCCAAAAGGATGGAGGCCGCTGAAGTTTTCTCTCATTTTCCTTCAGTTCTGAACGAGAACACTTATTTTTTGAACCAGATGGCAAAAACAGTGAAATGGGGGATGCAGGGTCTGAAGCATTTGAGGTTTCTTGTTTTGCAAGACTAGCATCAATCTTAGGCAATTCCGGTAACCTTGTTTCAAACCTAGACGTTTGCTCTGGGTGTGGGATTTGATCTTTTGTAGATTCTTCATAGTCATAGGTGCCATTTGATAGCTGAATAGTATGGATCCCATTTGTTTCCTGATGAGCAGGTGATTTAACCATCTTATGAAACAGTGGTGACTCAACTATATGAGGCGGTGATGAATCTTGGAAGTCGCTCCCTGATGATGAATCATTTTTAGTTTGGTAAGCTGTTTCCTTGTAGTCCCTAGTTGAAGTCCTGGAAACAGATCCCAAAGATATCAACTGCCAAAGAAGTGGGCCAATAACATTTCACTTTGCAACAAGAAAAAATTCCAGTAAAATGGATTCAATTTATTAACTGTTAATTTAGGTACAGCATACAAAAAACAAGTAGGTGACACAACATTGTCAGATATGATATAACATGCCATGGGTAAGAATATGAGACGTCTCAGAGACATCATAGAACACACGCCAGCTAAGCATATCTGACAAAGAGGACAGAGGGTAAAACCACCAGAGACTGCCTAGGATCCTTCATTAATGTGTTGTTTTGTACTGCTCTTTATGAATACTGCAAATTAAGCAAGTATACTCAGTTTGAACACAATTTGTATTACAGATGCACTATCATAATCTAGGTTAGCAGGTTGAATGCTAAACAATAACAAACCGTTTGACAATTCACGAGTTTCCATGTCCAAAGAATTAGGATAGGTTGACTCTGACTGGTCGACACACTGCACCGGACACATACACACTATCTTCAGCATGGGCATCAGTTAATGCACAATATATACCTTTTAGGAACTTCCGCTTCTTCACACCTAAAGAGCTCTGCATATTGTCCACCCAAGGTTAACAGTTCATCATGTGAACCCATTTCAACAAGTTGGCCCTCCTCCATAACAGCAATATAATCTGAAGTCCTTATAAGGCTTAGCTTTCGAGCTATCATAACAGTTGATCGCCCCAACATAATGGAATCTAGAGCCTCCAGAACAGCCCTTTCTGCTTCAGAATCGAGACTTCCCGTAACTTCATTAAGCAGGAGAAATGAAGGGTTCAAAAGCACTGCCCTGGCAAGAGAAATTTTTATTTTCTGTTCTTCAGTCAGTGATAATCCAGCTCTACCCACCTGAAATGCATTAACATGAAGTAAAAGCATCAATGAAAAAAGTATCATTAGCATATTGTGGGTTCAAGATGATTTTCAGTGCTTTTGACCTGTGTTTCATATCCTTTTTCGAGAGAGCTGATATAGGCATGCAAATGCGCTATCTTAGCAGCTTCTTCAATCTGATCTGTACTAACATCAGCTCGTCCATAAGCAATGTTATCCCTCACGTTCAGGCTCAGTAAGGCAGGTTCCCGGGTTACTAGTCCAATTTGGTTCCTTAACCATTCTAGTTTCAGGCTTCTAATATTTTCTCCATCCAAAAGCACTTCTCCTGCACCATAAAAGAGAAAACCAGTCAAGTTTCAAAACATAGGGAGAAGAGAGTAATACAATCCTTGCAGTTGCAGCAAGCATCCAAGAGGAAGATGAAATCTAAAATCTGAAAATTGCAACTTGAGAAAATGCAGTACCTAAAGTGGGCTCATAAAACCGTTCCATGAGCGGAAATACACTACTTTTTCCTGATCCATTCCTGCCGACAAGTGCCACGGTTTTCTTAGTGGGTACAATAAGGCAAAACCCGCGTAAGATAGGTATTTCAGGACGACAGGGATAACTGAAATAAACATTCCGGAACTCGATGTCTCCTCGTATAGAAGCTAAGATATTTCCATCCTCATTAGGAGTAAAGCTTGAATGGCTGATCATCTCATAAAGTCTATAAGCAGCAATTCGCCCTTGTTCAAAGGAATAAAAGTTGGTTGCTGCTTGGTTCAACCCACTACAAACAACATTGGGATAAATGATGGAGAGAAAGGGAGAGGGAGAGAGAGAGAGTACACAAAAGGAAGGGAATGGGGTGCTTACAGGCCACTTAAAATTATAGCAAAAAGAGCTACGATTATTTCACCACCACTGGCTTTTCCGCGTGAAACTAGGAACCTTCCAACCCAAAGTTGTAAGGCACATGAAAATATTGCAAGTCCATACGTGAACCCAAGACCAAGCCCTTGCACAAGGCTTATTAATATACCATATCTCAATGTTGCCTGAAGAGAAGTTGCATAAGAATACTTGGCCAATGTATCATTCGTGAATGCATATACTGTCCTAATGCAAGAAAGTGCCTGCAAAAAAGAGAAATTGTATCTAAGAAACAATGGATTTCTACAACATAGAAGCACAATAGAAGTTAATTGTTTGGGTCAAAGACTTCAACCGCTGTGTTGGTCTACCTACAACAGAATATGATTAAGAAAATTCAAGTTTGAGGCACGAAAACCAGATACATAAGCGGGGGGGGGGGGGGGTTGGATAGGAAAAAGAAGATGAAAAACAATTTGCTCCATCCCAGAAAAAAAAATTCATCACTGAAAAGCAGAAAGTCCATGTCTCGGGTGATAGGGCTATGAGAGGAGACGATAAAATTTAAAAGTGTTCTCAAAATACTTAAGTTCTATGGTGATAAACAGCAGTATGATTCATTTTTGTAGGATGTGGGGTACGAGGATGTGAAGTTGACGCAGGCAGCACAGCTGACACTTATTTACTCGGCCAAAGCATATGGGAAAGAAGAGAATATAGGTAGCAAAAAAATAAGAATAACTAAAGCAAGGGTAAGGATGTCTATCACTTGCCTCTTCCAGACCACACTATAGGTGGGAGTCTTGTGCACCAAGTCCAACGACAAAAAAAAGAGTATCCAGACCTTTCTTTGATTCTGGTGTATAGAGAGGCGGCTCAAGAGAATGTGGTCAGTCTCTAGGAGCAGTTTTGGCTCCAGATATTGCAGATCTTAAAATTTGAGCTTAAGCATGGAATAGAATTCAATTTTACAGATTGGTTGGAGTGGAAGGAACAAGGGAGGAAAATCAATTTTACAGTGAGATCTTTTCACACCCAGCTGTTTCGTGGGGAGGAATAAGTCAAGTATTCCTCACATCAACTTAAGACCATTTGTAGCGATTTACACTAGTGTAAAATTTTCCATTGATCAGTACTAAAAACTCTCTACCTATCAACAAAATACGAAAAATTTGTGCAGTTTAGAGGATATTTTTAATTTACAATGTGGACGAAGATGATTACTAATCTCCAAAGAAGTGATTTAATAGCTACTTAGTATATAATTATTGCCCTCATTAGTTGAGTAGAGCTTTTTTCTTACTGCCTTTGTATGACACTGCAATCTGCGAATGGCAAGGTCAACACGTATCCCTAAGTAAAACTAGAATTATAATTTCATCCGCGAGCATCACTTACAAATGTGATCCAATAAGCTTACCTAAAACAGTAAATGCAAGAAGCACAAAACTTGAATCTGTATTCAAAGAATTAAGGAAAAAAATTCCCTGGAGAAGACAGAAGAATCTCTTCCTAACCTGCTCGGCAGTGCTTGCTGCCTCAGCATAAGCATCTTGAATGCTGTCTGCAAGTCTGTGGAGAAAAATATTCGACATTCCCCCTCCAGCAAGAATGAATGGACCAGTGGCTAGTGTTATTAGGGCAATCTGCCAACAGCTGGCAAATCCAATGACAAGTCCACTGAAAAATGTTGACATGTTGTGAATATAATTCCCAACCTGACAAGGTAAAGCAGATCTTTTATGGCCACAACCAACAAGACAGTGAAAGTGATGAAGCAAACCTAAAGTGACTTCACGACAACAATAATTATAACAATGAAAATTCAACAAAAAACTAATTAGCAAAGTGTAATTTGTACAGTCCATACACAAAGCATAATTAGTCCAGTCCAAAACTTACTTTTTCACTAAGAGCGGACTGAATGATTAGCACATCGCTTAAAACTTGGCTCACAATGTCCCCGTTGTTCCCATATGAATCAAAAAAGCTCATGTCCTGGTTAAGTAATACTTGGACATACTTTGACCTAATGACAGCAGTCTGCCTTTCCCCAGTAAGAATCCAGCACAAAACCTCTATCACATAAATGGAAGTAACATTAAAACATCAAAAAGCTTCAAATACAGAATGACGGCATGAAAAGAAGCAACTAAAATTGAGTCTTACCTATCCAACCTGCAGCAAAAGCACCCAAAGCCATATAAATAATATACCAAGCGTGCTGCACGATAAACGAATACAAAGTTCAATTGTCTGCACCTGGAAGAAAGAAAGCAACAAAATTGGCCACATACTATGCTATCTAGATATCATGAAGTAGAAGAGTTTTCTTTTCAATAACCTGTTCCAAGACTCAAAGGGACACAGTTCTTTAAAAAGTATGAAAAAGGCTATGACAATGTATACTTGTATCTATTGCCTATCTTGCGGGATTGGAATATATAAACAAGAAATGCAAGCGGGTCCAAGACACCAAAATGGCCATTAATTTGATGCCCTTGCTTTACCTTCACCAAATATTTCACACAAGTATGATCATAGTATATTGGTGTTAATATAGCTATGGGAACAATACATTAAAACATTTTTAAAAGTAGGCGCAAGCAGTGGGAATTTTCTACAAGTCACAATAACATGATATGTACACAACAAAAAGTTAAGGGGTCATTGTTGATAATAACTTGGCCAGAACCCAAAAATGACACGACCAGCTAGCTCATATTATAAATGACTTAACTCCAAAACAAATAACTCGTTTTGACATGACAAACTCCTTTAGTTAGCACTGTTGAGAGAGAAGGCATTCTAATCATTTCATTTGTGATTTGATATTTATGTGGATAATTGTAAGATTATAAAGCTTTTTACTTCGGCTTGCCAGTATCGAAACCACCTGAATTGTTATTTTATGGAGCCTATGAATTGTGCATCTTGTTAAAATAGAAATGATTCCTAGTCCTGGAATCCTGTTTTAGGCGTTTAGATGCGAAACTACACAATTGATGCAAGATTTGGGTTAGTATAAAATATTAAGTCATGAATAATTAAAACAAGTCGGGTTAGAACTGAAAAAAAACTATATATCCATTACACATTTAATTATTCACATTGCACAGGAGCGAGCGATATGTATTACTAATGTCATTTACTAGTGGAAGAAAGCAGAACAAGGTTGTCAAAAAACCACCTGAGTGAACTTCTGAAACAATTCATCCGATCCTAGTGAACGATCAAAGCTCAGCAAATGTATAATCTTCCCGAACAAATACAAATACACCACAATCGCCGCCCCATGGGCCGCCGCAGCCAACGACCCAACAACTATCAGAGCCCAATCAACTCCGTCGGCACAAGCAAACAGCCCCAAAAATGGCACGGCGGCCGGTGGTGGTTCCGCCTCGTCCTCAATTTCCTCTTCATCATCTGCTGGGCCCACCGCCTCAATGCCCGGCTCTACGTACGCAAAAGGTGATTCAGGCGGCTCCGACACCTCCGAGACCGGAGTTAATGGCTGCATGTGAGGCGGAGACCAACCAAAGACACCTCTGGCTGACATTGTCTTCAAGAATTCCGAGTAAAACCCTAAACCCTAATTTCATGCAAATGTCTGGAATCGGAAAAGATTGAATCTTTAAGGCATAATTGGGGTGGGTGGGTGGAGTGAGGAATTGTCGTTTCAGAACCTCTCTCTTCGAATGGCTTTATCTGATTTTTATTGGGTAATCAATGGTGAAGAATCGGTATATATATATATTATGTTGAACAGGCTGGGTTTTGGTATTCGTCTACTTCTTCCTCTGTACATGCCCCTCTATGTCTCTCTCTCTCTCTCTCTCTCTCTCAAATGAACGTCGTCTTCTTTGGTGCCTTTTTTTTGTCGTTTACATCTCTCTCTCCCTCTGCATTGCTGGTGTCTTGAGGAGCCGGTTTTTGGCGGTTCTGTAGTCTTTGGGTGATGGGCGTTAAGAGCAAAGAGGCAACTACAATTTGGTCGTTGGAAAGGTTTGAAATTGAATACGGGTGGTTGCATCGACTATCGACCAGATGGGTGTGTTAAGCAATTTCCTTATTTCCCTTTAAGACCCCTCCAGTAGGAGAAAATTTCAATTACACCTTTTTCAATTGATCATATCTTCAAGAACATTCTTTTATTTTTTGAATCTTGTGTTAATTAGAATAAAATTTTACTAAATTCTTCATAATATATTTTAGAAAAAATTCCATCCACACCCCCACTAGATAGACATATATTTAATGAGACCCCCTCTATTTTTTAAAAATTTTTTACGTATTAAAATTAGGGTTAATTAAAATTTGATTCAACCTAATTAAAATTTATTTTTTTTATATTAAAATTTGAGTTGATTAAAAATTATAATTTTTTTTACGTATTAAAATTTGAGATGATTAAAATTCTATGCGAGACTCAAATCAAATTTTAATCAACTCGCATTAAATTTTAATCTGCACGAATTTTGATACATGAAAAATATAAATTTTAATTGAATCAAATTTTAATACGTAAAAAAATTTTAAATCAATTTGAATCAAAATTTAATAAATAAAAAAATATAAATTTTAATCAATTCGAAGCGAATTTTAATCTGGACTAATTGCTTGAGTAGAGCTCAAATCGGTCTTAATTTTAATACGTAAAAAATAAAATTTAATTAGCTTGAATCAAATTTTAATCAACTCAAATTTTAATACGCAGAAAAATTAATTTTAATTGACTCAATTTTTAATCAAATTTTATGTAGAAAGATTGTTTAGGGTTTATATAGGATCAATTCTAGTATTTTAAATAATTTATTTTTGTTATAAATGATGGTTTAATAACAGGGGTACCAAATATGTTTAAATATAAATTAGACAGGGTGCCAATAATTTTTTTGATAATAGAGGGGTGTGAGGATATGGTAAACAAGAAAATTTTCCCTTATATAAAACATCACTTATAATGCTTTTAATTTATATTTAAACATCACCGAAACCCCCTTGTCATTCCTTTAAACCACCATTTCTAACAAAAAAATTCAACTAAAATATTAAAATTGTCCGTATCTAAACCCCAAAAAACTTTTCTACATAAATTTTGATTAAAATTCAACCCGATCAAAATTTGTTTTTTTATATATTAAACCTCGATTTGAGCTAGTTAAAAAAAAATTTACATATTAAAATTCGAGCTCAACTTGATCTGACTAAAATTCTATTAAAATTCAAGTCAATTATTTTTTGGATTGTACTTGTTTACTTATTAAAATTCAAACCAAAAAAAATTCGATTCAAACTGATTAAAATTTATTTTTTACGTATTAAAATTTGAATCGATCAAAATTTATATATTTTATGTATCAAAATCCAGACCAGTTAAAATCCAATTCGAGTTGATTAAAACTCGATTCGAGCCGATTAATTTTAATCAGCTCAAATTTTAATGTAAAAAAATATAAATCGATTCAAATTTTAATATATATAAAAAATAAATTTTAATTAGTTCGAATTGAATTTTAATCTACCCAAATTTTAATACGTAAAAAAATTCAAAAAAATAGAGATTCTATTGAAGATATATCTATTTACAGGAAATATCAATAATAATTACCCAAGTAATTATATAAAGAGATTGACCCACATCAATCACCAAGCGAATGATCTTCGCTTTGCAAGATCAACAAAAACCACCATCTTGCTTTTTCCTTTCTTCAGTGTTACCTTTTTCTTTCCAAAGGATGGGAGTCAAAAATAAAGTCAAGTCAGTCAGATTCGAACTACTCAGACTGTTTAACAGTCCTAATTAGTTGCATCAAGTTGATCGATGTGTACGTAAAACTCATCCGATACTTTTTTATCTATTTTATTTCTTTGCAAATCATTCGCTATTAAAAATTATGGGACTCACTAGTACGAAGAAATCCCACTTGAATTGACCATATGCGATACAATAAATAGAAAAATAGAAAAAAAAATGAATCGAAAGAAATCTTACTCCAAACTAACCTTCCACAATTCACCATCGCACAACCTGAATGCGAGTCTAGGTAAATGGACTTGCGAACAATAAGTTGTGGAAGCAACAACTTTCACAAGTGTCATGTGCCAACTTTAAATTTTCTTTATTTTTTTTTTTTTAGTTCAAGAGTCAGAGGTGTCTATATCAACTTACGCGCACTTTAGCTAATTTTTCCTTTGTTCGATTAAAAGCAGATCATCCACGTTGAAACTAGGATATTCATGAAAGATAAATCTCAAACCCAAGGAATTGCTAAAATTCGAATTCAGGACGCCTGAATGTACAACTCATTTTTGTTATCATTTAAGCTATATTTTGGGGTTACAACTATAAAACTGTCTCACTATGCATTGTTGGAGTGGATTGATTTCATGAACTTAGTGTTATACATATAATCATTCAGTATAATGTACACACATATCTGTCTCTATTCCAATTTGGTGCAACTTTGCCTTTTATAGTCTTCCTCAATATAGGTCCATTTGCGGCAACTGCTGCAACTTTTAACATGTGAAATTTGGCTCTTTCTGCCATATGCCAAGAAAAAGAAGTTTGAGTAGTGATTACAATGAATACAAGAATGGTTAACATTAAGTTATAAAGGGGCTCTTCTCTGCCTATTTAGTTGCCACTCATTCAAAATGTTTGAAGGACATGGATGTCTGCTCAGTCAATTGTATTTTTCTTCATAAAGAAAGTCACTGTTTATAAGAGGGTCCTTGAAATATTAATATTGGGTGGATAAAGCGGACTTGACTTTACTCATTTGATTATTTAGTATTAAATAGTGATATCACGTGATGATATTAATGTAACATTAATATGACATTTCTTGATTTATCCTTATAAAAAAATTAAAACAGAAGTTCATAAAGCAGAAGGTAAGATACCAATTTTTTTTTTTTTTAAAGTCCCCCCGTTAGAGCATCTCCAATAACAAATTGCATTTTAGCTACTCAAAAATCAACTTTTTCTATTTTAACTACTCACTATTTCAATACACACTCCAACAGATTTTCTATATTTTTAATTACTTCTTTTAAATATTATTTCTCATTCCTTTTATATTATTTTTTTTGGGAATAATAAAAGGGAGAAAGAGAGAGAATGGAAGAAAGGAGATGACGAGAGATAAAATAATATAAAATATGTTTACAAGTTGCTACAATGATACTCTATATTTAGAGTATCACTGTAGCAAAAATATATTTTAGAGTATATGAACAATTTTGTTGGAGCATGACTTTTGGCTTTGATTAGCTAAATTTTAACTATTTTTTTCATTTACAAAGATGCTCTTATGTAGCTAAGGGCCCATTAAATTTAGCCCATCAAATGAAAGAGAAAGTATATCAACCGCATGTTTGCCTCTCTTGTGTTTGATAGGGTATACGAAAAAATAGAAGGATAAAAAATGTGAGTAATATATTTTATAGGCTTTAAGAGAGGAATTATTCATTATCTTCTTTGTGTTTGGTAGAAGGGATAAAAAATTAGTAAGACTGATTTTTTTTTTTTTTTTTGTATTTGATAGAGTGAAAAGTATAAGGATGTACATATATATATTTTACCATTATTTTTTTATTTTTATTTTGGTACACTGGAAAAATAAAATGAAAACCACCAAGGCTCTCTAATGAAACAAGTATTGGCTAAATTAGCTCGAAGCACCGCTCTAATCTCCACCGGGGATTACCCAAGAAAACAAGGGTCTGTTTGGTTTGTGTCTCAAAGAATAGTATCTGAAAACAGTTTTTGAGAAGAGTTTTAAGAAAATGATTTTGATATTTTTTGAGATAAAAAACTTATTTGGTTAGATGATTTCAAAAATAATTTTGCAATACAGAAAATAGTAAAATTTGTTTGGACAGTCTAAATATATATTTAAACAGTAATTCAAACATTAATAAAAAAATATAAAAAAATATTTTTAGATTGACAAATTCATAAAAAAAATTCAATAAACCAAATTTAAAATATATATATATATATATATATATATATATATATATATCTATATATATATATATATATAATATATAATAAATAAATAACTCTGAAAACAAGCTACACTTGTTTTCTGTTTCTTTGATTCAAATCTCATTTTTTCCCAAAACTTAGAAAACAAAAATACTAAACAAACAGGTTTTAGGTGTTTTCGAAATTTTGAGAAAAAAAAACTATTTCCGAGATGATAATCAAACATGGCCCAAACTTTCCCCTCTGTCTGACTCCCAAGTTTGCAAGAGCGTTCGCACATTAGTTTCCTTCCCTCAAGACATATTTCATAACATTGCTCGAATCATGTAATAGCCTATTACAATAGGCAATGAGCACCCTGTTGGGGTTGGACTCCTCCCTCAGTTGCTTCAACAATGAGTAGACTTCATAGGAATCCGTTTCCACCTCAACTCCAGACAAACTTTGCTCCTTAATCAGCTCTAGGCCTTTGAACAATGCCCACATTTCTGCTTTCAAGCTGGTCGTTGTATTCAGTTTCCCATAGAAACCTGCAGTACCCTTGATCATCCCTCAAAACTCCTCCCAAGCCTGTTATTCCTGGATTTCCTTTCAAACATCCGTCAGTAAGCTTCAACCTACCTGTAAGAGGAAAAGACCAAGCAATTAGTCTAACCTCATTAATTTGCCTAGTTATTTTGAAAGCACTATTGATCTCTATGGACGGTTTGATAGCATTCCTAACCACAACCTTGGGTTTGTGGTCAAATTTTTAATGCACTTCTTGTTTCTATCTTTCCAAATGGTCCATGTAAGACAAATGAATTATATTGTATGTTCCTTATCATTCCATGAGACTTGTTTTCTTTCTCTTATATTTCTTACCATCCAGACATTAAGGCTTAAAGTATGATCTGAGAGAATTTCTTGCTGGTCTAAGAAGGTTCTCCAGATTTTATGGGCCTTACTACAGTCTCTCAAGATGTGCAAAGTTGTTTCAACTGAAGAATTACATCTAGT